TTTCTCATTTTTGGTTATCTTTTTATTAAGTCTAATGAAATTAATTCCTATGCTAGTTGGAATGCCCTTGCTATTAGTGTTAGATTGATTTTTTCCTCTTTGTGTGTGCGCTTATGTGTCTAATGTTGTATATATATATATATATATATATATATATATATATATATATATATATATGCATATATATGTGTGTGTGTGTGCATATATATATATATGTATATGCATATATGTGTGTGTGTGTGTGTGCATATATATATATATATATGCATATATATATATATATATGTGTGTGTGTGCATATATATATATATATATGCATATATATATATATATGTGTGTATGTGCATATATATATATATATATATATATATATATATATATATATATATATATATATATATATATATATATATATATATGTATATATATATATATATATATATATATATATATATATATATATATATGTGTGTGTGTGTATATATATATATATATATATATATATATATATTTTATATGCATCTATATATGTGTGTGTGTCTGTGTACGGTAGATATATATTCGCATCGTTACTTCTTGATCTATGCACTTAAATTAACGCTGTGTATATTAATCTCACAGAATGAACATTACCGTATATGTTGGCGACCTTTTGGCCGTAACTCCCCCACACACACGCACACCTACACACACACACAAATAGAGGGCCCTCTTACGTTAAAGTTATAAAATATGAACCTTAAATCTTGTGGTTAATAGTAAGTTGTTAGCATGGAAGATTTTTACGGTAGTCTAACACTTGTTTTGATAACTATCCACTCAAATATTTCCTATTGAGACAACTTAATTCACAATATTTTATTAAAATAATAAAAATGTAATGTGGTAAAAGTATTTTTACCTCATATAATATGCGGTATGATTGCCCGACAAGAATAAAACGAATATTCGTCAAGAGAAAAATCCCAAACTATCGTCAAACACTGTAGATTGTGATAGTTACTTGACATATTTCGCTTCCTTTTTTTTTTTGATGATGTTGTAGCAAAAACACAACTGGATGTCTATCTCAAAAAGCCGTTTAGAGATCATATTGAAGGACAGTAGGCAAAAGATATTCAGGCTACCGTACTAACCTAATGAAAAACACCCATGAGGTATTGTAGATGGTTGTAGTTAATTCACAATATCTACCCACCGTTTTTCATTAGAATTTGCGTGAAAAGACAATATATGCTCCCTGAATTTATTTAATAAATATTTAATAAATACGATTTATGGAGACGTCTTTTACAACGAATATAGACCAAAACCTTCACTTGAAAAATTGAGGGTCAGTTTATTACTTTTTAGTCTACAAGACATTCTTTCAGGAGAATTAAGAATTCGTTAACAGCGATATTTGGTACATTTTAACCAACCATGAGTAAATTCGTTTATTTTATTTATTTATTTTTTTTCACATTTATGCATTTTAATCTTTCGATAAAGTAGCCTTAATTTTTAATAATTGAAAGTCTATGTGGGGTTAAAAGATTTACTATAATTTTCTCTAGTATATAATGAGCACTTCCATTCCCAGATATGAGGGGTTTGAATCCTTGAATACAGGATAAAATGTATCTATCCAGTTCTTATCTCAAATAACAACTTAAAAGAGATTGTTTGACCAACACAAGGAATGTTAAAAGATTCATGTGAAAAAGAAAAAATAAAAATACAAATGAAAACTACAGACAAAAGTTCATTTTCTCCAACAAAGACATTCATTTATGTAGTTCACTGCCAACAGCAAGCAGAAATATTTCTCCTCCCGATGATGGCCATTTCGGTCGAAACTAGTCGAGGAATCTAAATGGAATAATAATAAAAAAACAAAAGAATATTAATCTACAACCCAGTGTGTCTAATGATTTTAATTTTTTTAATTTTTTATTTTCTTATTGTTCAAAATATATATATATATATGTGTGTGTGTGTGTGTGTGTGTGTGAAAAGTGTATATAAATATAAATAAATATATATATATGTATAATTATTTATATATTATATACGCGGTACTTAATAGAAAAGCGCTCAATATCAGAGATAGAGCTAACATATTTAGTTGGATAGATGTGAGTTTGTGACCCTAGGTTTCACGCTTTTGCTATCGTCAGACGATCGCTAAAGCGTGAAACCCAGGTCTAAACTCACATCATCAACAAATATATATATATATATATATATATATATATATATATATATATACAACGTGTATACACATAATATATTCACTGATGCATGTTTCATTAAATAATATAGACAAGTTTTTTTTATTTATTTTAAGTAAGTTCCTTTCATATTGTCTGATAAGCAATAACATTATCATTGAAAGACGAAAGGAAATCACCATATTGATATATGTTTAAATCCAATCTAAAGGAACTTACTTAAAATAAATAAACAAAACTTGTCTATATTATTTAATGAAATATCCATCAATAAATATACACACTAATATATATATATATATATATATATATATATATATATATATATAATAGTTTCATTAAAAGCGACTAACAAGTTACTGCGCTTAAGTTTTTAATGTAATTTTTTCTTCTTTTCAGGACATAAATTATGCTGTAATGCTCCAATGATCTATAGCTATAATCCATGCCCTTTCGGCTATACTTTTAACCAATATCAAGGATGATTCCATTTTACATTTTAACTGAATGTATGGGATTTCTCTCTATGAATCTAGGATTATAGAAATGTTTTATTTTTAAAACACGGTCAACACATTGTGGCCGTGTTCATAGTTGATATTATTCAGTGTTGGCTTTCTCTTTTTTTTATTAATAATGTTACTATTATTTTTAGTCTTTTTAGTATGTCCATGACGCTATTATATTTGTATTATCAACAAGTATGTTGCGAATGGAGTTTGGAAACTTCATGTGTATTTAAATGAGGCCTAACCGAGCTATGGCCAGAGAGATATAACGTGAGTTTTTTTGTTAGGCATATTGTAGTATGTTCTACATAATTTCTGTGTTGAAAGGAAGAAAATTATAAGAATACAAGAAAAATTAAATACAAAACTTAACTGCAGTACCTTATTAGTCGCTTTTAACGAAACTTGTATAAAAGAAGGACTGCTGCCTAAATACATAATTGATATATATAAACTTTCTTACTTTTATCGCAACACACCTTTTCGATACACCGTTCATTACAACTATATTTTATTACCAGTTTTACTTCATCTTATTATTGTGGTCTTTGCTCAAAATACTTTGTGTTAGTGACATCCAGGAATGCTAAAATGAATCGTGCGAAATCGGAAATAAAGGAGTAACTCGTACAAAAGAATCTTTTCTTTCTCCCGCCAATATGGCCACAGAAACGTCTTCAATAATCGGAAGAAAAACTATGAAGGCCCATGTGTGAAAAAAAGGGAAAGAGAATAATTTCGCTTTAGAAGGCACAGTGGAGTAATGGATAGCGGAACTGGAGAAACGTGTTCGAATTCTAGCCAAGTTCATTACATTCACTTACGTGCTCATCTCCTTGGGAAAAGTATAATTTCATTTCTTCTCCCCAGCAGGACAGACTAGACACTATAGCCTTGGGTGGCAACCTATTTCGGAGAAACACTACTTCTGCGGCGTCTGCAGTAAGTATAGTGCCCCTACGACCCCAATGAGTTACGGGTTGAAAATAATAAAGATGATGATTATGTAGCAGTATAAAAAAAATTAACTCAAATTTCTGCTATAGAATGATGACCAGCATCATAATTATTATTATTATTATCAAGTGAAAGAGTTTTTCAGTAATTTCCCCAAATTATTTAAAATAACAATGACTACTAATGCTACTGCTGCTACTAGTACTACTACTACTACTACTACTACTATTCAATGATTCGAACAGTATCTCTCTTTTTCTGTCTTACACTATCTCCTCCTGCTCCTCTGCAATTTCATCTCCTCCTCCTAACCCCGTCTGTTCAATTCCACTAGCAATCATCAGGCCAATATGTAAACAGTACCTTCAAAAGTCATGAATAAAACAACTCCGGTGCGTCATCGCAACAAGTTTCCTTGTCGCTTTACCGAGTCTCTCTCTCTCTCTCTCTCTCTCTCTCTCTCTCTCTCTCTCTCTCTCTCTCTCTCCCCTTGTCCCATTCCATGTCCTCGGTGGCACTGCTTTCTACAATAATTACGATGACAATTAAATTTAGACAAGATTGGCCATCGAATTACTTTTGTCGACACCGTGGAAATAATTGTTTCTGATGGAGAGACAGGGGGGTGGGGAAGAGAGAACAGGTTTCGCCACGATCCGATAATGTCGCCAGCTGATGTCCCTGATACCGTAGCTGATCTGGTAAAGCTTTCGAATTTTCAAAAAATAAAATTGCTGGCCAGTTGTTTGCTTGAACGAGAAAATAGACATATTCGTACAGGCTTATACAGCTAGAGTTATGCAAACAGCAGTAGTCATTACAATAAAAACATAATCAGATGATAAGCCTGGGGTCAAGAATAAGCGATAGGTAAATAAATAGATAGACAGATATGAACAGAATGAAAAATATACAGATAGATAGATAGATAGATAGATATAGTGAGATAGACAGATACGATGAAAATGAGATATAAAGAGTGATATAAACAGAATGAAATAGATATGAACAAAATGAGATATGAATTAGATACATACATACATACATACATATATATATATATATATATATATATATATATATGAAATGAATAAGTTAGATAGATATGAACAGAGTGAGATGGTTATATATATATTTGAACAGAATGAGATAGAATCAGATTGTAATCCTGTCGTCAAGAATAAGTGATATATAGAAAGATAGATAATGAAAAAATAATAGATAGATAGATAGATAGATATGAACAGAACTAGATAGATAGATAGATAGATATGAACAGAACTAGATAGATAGATAGATAGATAGATAGATAGAAACAAAATTAGAAAGATAGATAGATAGATAGAAACAAAATTAGAAAGATAGATAGATAGATAGATAGAAACAAAATTAGAAAGATAGATAGATAGATAGAAACAAAATTAGAAAGATAGATAGAAAGATAGAAACAAACAACATTAGATAGCTATCAACAGTATAGATATGAACAGTATGAGACAGATAGACATGCACAGAATGGCATATTTCCAATTCTACCAAGTACTTTGCAAGTCTCTTCGAGACTATTCCAAGTGTTCCGATAATGATGGGTACAAATGTCACATTTTCATTTTTCCGTGTTTCGATAAATCCCAGATATTTTTGCAGTGCTTCGTTTTCTTCTTGACTGAGAAAACAGCACATCAAATTCTACATAGCCCAATAAACCCATTATGACACCCAGCCTGATAAGGCTATATCTAGCACATGCATCACAGCCAAAGTGGGATCCAGGTAAAAATTGGGTAATCGGTGTCTGTTCAGACGGCCTCCGGGTTTTGTTCACAAATATCCAAATGTAAACCCCGAGTCGCAATGGTGGCCTCATTCTTCAAACTTAAAAAAGTATCTCTCTCGACACCCGGCCATGATGCTCCTCCCCCACTATTCCCGTCAATGAACAGGAATACACAGTTTTTCAGTCCCTAATCCAATAGGTTCAGGTTAAGCAGCTGACAAGCAGTGAACGGGATATTTATTGCAACCCTTCTTAATTCAGTATCTGTCTATATTTCTGAGCTGAGGTATTATGTACACTATTTACATTATTCGGACTATTGTCCTCATCTTTGTCGTCATATTTATTACAACTTTTCAGCCGTTGTACGCTCCGGCCTTCTTCAGGTGGTTGGAATGTCGAACTGAACCCTTTATTTCGCACACTGGGGTAGACTGTTCTAGTTCCACTTGTCATGTTTTAATGGATGTCAGTTATCAGTTATCTCCTGTTAATTCCCCTCTGCAAGTTCTCCACCGCCTTAACCGGGTATTGAACTCACACTCTTTGGGTCTTGTCACTGGATCTAACTAACGCCTTTATCCACTGTGCCATGTGTCCTTGAGGACTTCTTAATTCTCAAGACAAAACATGTATATGTTAACAATCAATTAAAATAGGAATCCATGAGAGCCATACCTGGTGTAGCGTAAAGACATTAGTAGTAGTATTGTTTTTTCCTCTTTCATTTTCTATTAGTACAATCCTTACCCGATCATAACCCGGGAACTGAGTTTGTTGACTGATTTTGTTTAGCGGCATATCAACACCTCTATGGGTTAATTAATGCCGAACCGTAAATATTTTATACGCAATTGTTTTGTTTTTTTAAATAATAATGGCTATCGTGATACAAATCTTACTAATTAATATATAGGGGAGGAGAGCTGGATTCATGCCTTCCCCATGAGCGTAAGTGAATATAACGAATCCAACAAGGATTGAAACTGCGTTCTCCGGTTAACAATTCCGAGCCATTATCCATTATTTCTAACCACACATCCAAACTAACAACACCTTGCAATCTGAAGCGGTCACTCATCTAAGTACTAGCCAGGCTCGACATTGCTTAACTTCAGTGATCGTACGAACACCGATGTTTCAACAGGATTTGGCTCCTGCGCACCTAAGAACAGGGCTAAGGATGTAAATATATGCAATTTGCTTCCAAAACTTCTGATGTTAAATGATACTTAACATGTATAGTATCTCTTTTTTATTTACATTGATGATAGTGTTCTGAGTAGATGAATCATTTCTACAGATTGTATCTTTAATCTTTTAGTTAAACAGGGGATACCAGGAATTTTGTTAACGTTCTATCTACATTACTTGATCGTGCTCAAGCAACAACAACAAAATGGCGTCTATATCCATTATCAACATTGATAATGGGCGACATTTTGGTAGTAGCTTTGTAAATTTTAGCAGTTTTGTTTGTGTCAATTTTTAGTAGTTCATTTTGTTTTTATTTGTTTTATTTTTATAATTTTGTGTGATGATTTACTTTTGCTTCGTAGAAGGTAACGAATGTCTGCATAGAAAGAGAGAGAGAAGAAAGAGAAAAAATAGAGAAATATAGATAAAAAAAGAAAGAGTTATAAAGAAAAACAAGGAGATGAAGAAAGCAAAAGAAAGACAAAAGAAATAACAAAAATATAAAAGATTAAAAAATAACCGAAAAAAGATTTTTTAAAAGTGAAAAAGAAAGAAAGAGAGAGAGAGAGAGAGAGAGAAAATCAAGTCAGAAAAACAGAGGGGTAGAGTGAAAAAAGAAGAAAATAAGAGAGAAAGAGAGATAGAAGAAATGTAAAGGAGTATAATAGTTATTAGCAGAGAAAAACTGGCAGAACAGATTAAGTTCGAATTTTAACTGAGGTGATCTTTGCTAAACTTATCACTATTACCCTTGGAAAAGGCATGAACACACTATTCCTCTGTCTCTCCTTATCACCATATATCTTGACAGAAATAGCTTGTCATTAGCAAACCAAAATAATTGACGAAGAGGAAATCTAGTAAGTAAATGACTCCCCCTTGACTTGTTTACGATCCAGGTAGTAAGTCATGTCTATATTTGCTTATTTAAACTGATTTCATTATTTTTAACAACTAAATTTCACTTAAGTGAATGTTAACAGTATTCGGAATGCGATCAGGCTTTAGGGCACGTACCTTGGAGAGTATTCCGAATATGACCAGCCTTTAGGGCACGTACCTTGGGGAGTATTCCGAATATGACCAGCCTTTAGGGCACGTACCTTGGAGAGTATTCCGAATATGACCAGCCTTTAGGGCACGTACCTTGGAGAGTATTCCGAATATGACCAGCCTTTAGGGCACGTACCTTGAGGAGTATTCCGAATATGATCAGCCTTTAGGGTACGTACCTTGGAGAGTATTCCGAATATGACCAGCCTTTAGGGCACGTACCTTGGAGAGTATTCGAATATGACCAGCCTTTAGGGCACGTACCTTGAGGAGTATTCCGAATATGATCAGCCTTTAGGGCACGTACCTTGGAGAGTATTCCGAATATGATCAGCCTTTAGGGCACGTACCTTGGAGAGTATTCCGAATATGCCCCAGTGATCCCCAATTGCATTCTCTATTAGATCATCCGTACCTCCAGAATAATAACAAGCCAAATATCAGGTGCCTGCAAAATATCATTCGTGAGATTACCTGTATTTGCCTTGATATATTTCTCACTGTTTGCAGGACTTCAAAGGCTGATTTTTGAAATAGCAATTCCTCCTCACATAAACATTTGACGGAGCATACTCTTACCACTATTTAGTATTATATTATTATAAATAAGAACTCTAAATATCAAATAATCATATGCAATCCTGGCTATGACGATAAGCTACATTCGGCAGCAAGGAGAGATGGCGAGACTGGAAATTTTGAAGATCGTGGCACCATCTCTTAATTTCTGTTGTTCCTTGGCCCACCCTGATCCGGGGTGGTGGCACCTGTTAGGGTCTCAGTTATGGGCAAATAGAGAATACCCCTGAAAAAACAAACCCAGATGAAACTATAAAAATACATTTTTATCGTAAAAAGTAATACATTTTTATATAAAATAATTACAACCAATACCTATTTATGTTAAAATTACCAACAATATATTTTATCTGTGGTTGAAGGCATACAATTTGCATTCAAAATATTTAGATTTCGGCATTAAATAATCCAGAGAGGTTGATATGCCGCTAAATCAATTAAACAAACAACCAACATTAAATAAATCTTTCATGACATTTAATCCATATAATATCCAACAATTTCTTTAAAAAATCAAACTGTATTCCAAAACATGAGTTCAACAAAACTACAACATAAAACACACATCGCCTCTCGTACTCATGTCGACACAAACATGTATTTACACAAAAGCTGAGTATCATCTACCATGTATTCAACTGTGAAAGCAGAATAACATATATCATTATTTACATTATTCGGACTGTTGTCCTCATCCTTATTGCCATCTTCACAACGTTTCGGCCGTTGTACGCTCCAGCCTTCTTCAGGTGATTGGAATTTTGAAATGAACCCTTTCGTCCGCCGGGATAGATTATTCTAGTTCCATGTCTCAGTTATCTCTCTTTAACTCAACTCTGCAAGTTTTTGTTCGCTTCATCGCAGTAGCGAGGTATTGAACTCACAACACTTTGGGTCAAGTCACCAACGCTTTTATAAAATGGGTCATTTGTCCGTGAGGACATCAGTGTATTAATTTTGGGGACTTATAAAATTAATGTCTTAGTAACCTTTTTTTTTACCAGAGCTCATATTGCAATGCTTGTTATTATTGCTTTTCCCTCGCACTCCTTATTACTGGTTCCCATATTGTATTTATTTCTATGCTTGCAAACATGCTTCTACTGGTTGGATCCAGTCACTTGATCAAAAGTTGTGAGTTCAATACCCCACGTGAACGATAACCCACGTGAATAAAAACTTGAAGAGTTGAGTTAAAGGAAGATAACTGATACATCAGAAGAAGTATGGCATGTGGAACTAGAAAAATCTACCCCGGTGGACGAAATAAAGGGTTCAGTTTGAAATTCCAATCACTTGAAGAAGGCCGGAGCGTACAACACCGAAACGTCATGAATACGACATTAAAAATGAAGACAACAGTTCGAACAATATAAATAATGTAAATAATTACAACACCTCAAAAATATAGACAAACATGTATTGTTATTACTTCAAAGCTCACAGAAAATTAAATTTCGGCATTAAATGGCGTTGATGTGTCGTTAGACTAAGACATCAATCAGTTAAATAATCATATGACTTTAAATCGGTAATTCAGCAAAAGAGATAAGCCGCGTATGTTTATGATCTCTGTAGTGACCCAGTTGTCTCGACTCTCTTATAAATTAAGTTTAGTAATTTAAAATCCACAGCAAATTTAAAATTCCAATTTAAACTTGCTAAAATCATAGTCGTTGATGCCCGAACGTAAACGCAAGAAACCTGATAAAAAATATTGTCATTCGAGACACGTGTGAATATAAATCTTCTACCTCAACAGCAATTATTGGGTTGGTGCATAATTATTAGGCGTTTTTTAAACAATAGTTATCATGAAAAAAGAAACATAACAATTCAACAATAACATTTTAAAATGATTATTCCGAAGCGTATGGTTATCGGCATGCATTTTTATCGTCGTCGGCATCCGTCCGTCTCGAGAGACGATGGAGTCGCGCGGTGCGCCACGAGCCTGGGCGAGATATATGGAGAACTAGGGCTGCCCAGACGTCTAGTTCCCCCTCTCGGCCTTGCTAGCAGAGTCCAGAGGAGAGGATAGACCAATACAGTTTGGTACCAACGCGACTGCAGGAGTTGCTGGAAGGTAGCACAAAGTGCCGTCCATCCGTCTTAGGGGATCCACTCCGGGTTTGAATTCAGAGTTGTCCTTCTCCTAGTGGAGTTGCCATCCAAGGCTATAGAACCCAGTCTGTCTTGCTATTTACCCATAGCTAGAGGGAGAAGAAGAGGATTCACACCTTTCCCAAGGGTATTAGCACGTAAGTGAATGTAATTGATTCGAACTGGAATTCGAACTCGGCTCACCGATTCCTCAATCCAAGCCGCTATCCATTCCTCCACCGTGCCTCCTCACGTATTTTTATAACCTGAAAATAAAATATTTTTATTAAAAAAAGTAAACAAGACACCAAATTTTATTAACAAATAACATGCCTACAAAACGCCTGATAATTATGCACCAACCCAATATTATGATTCATTTATTCTTCTTTTCTACGTTGATAAGATAGTTTTATTTTTGATTACAAATATTAATTACACTATGTGAAACATTCATTAATACTTATGTTGGGTTCCCAGATATATCTTTAGCGACGGGTTAGCATCTGGCCGTGATAAGCAGATAATTACACAAACATAATTAAAACTAGATAAAGAAGGCGAAAGAAATGGCGGAAGAACGTAAATGAATTTCTTACTTTCTAGAAAAAGAACTTATTAACAAAATATAGAAATGTGTATCGGTCTATATTTCTGAGATGAGGTATTATATACACTATTACATTAATCTCCACTGCCTTAACCAGGTATTGAACTCACAACTCTTTGGATCCTGTCACTGAGATCAATACCTGGTTAAGGCAGTGGAGAACTTGGAGAGGGAATTAACAAGAGATAACTGATAACTGACATCCACTAAGCATGGCACGTGGAACGAGAACAGTCTACCTCAGCGAGCGAAATAAAGAGTTCAGTTCGACATTCCAACCACTTGAAGAAGACCGGAGCGTACGACGGCCGAAACGTTGTGATAAATATGGCAATAAAGATGAGGACAATAGTCCGGATAATATAAATAGTGTATAGAAATATATTATTTTCTCAGACCATGAAACGGAAAGCTAGTAGATCTTACAAATGCTGCCTTAACTCACAAGTTCAGTACGTCATTTTACAGGAACTTGTGCCTACCTATGCGTCAAGAAAGTGTCTTCTCTTCGCAGTGTTTTTTCTGAGGATTGTGTGTTAGAACAGACTGACTGTTAAGAGTCACATCTTTGGCTGTGAATCCGCAGTGAGAAAAAGAAGGAAA